ACACTGTACACCCCCCCTCCCCCACCCCAATCCAGGATGTTTTGCCTCTGGTTGGTAATTTTTCTAAGCTCTGTGCCAATTTAATCTGGTTTTAAAATTCTCCTTTATGGCAAACAAATCAGTTTTAATCAGAACAAAAAAGCCAAATGATTTCCTTTTTTTTTTGTGCCCAGATTTTAGTATGTTTGACCCATTAGTTTGTTGTGTGGTTCATGGAAATGATGGCATATAATATATAAATCTAGTGTTTGTAGAAAATTTGAGTGCGCACACTTATTTACAGAAAGCTTTGACGTAGGTTTTATTTAGCTTCTAACATCTGCCAGCAGTTTCTTTGTTCGTATTCATAGAGTGAACCTGCTTGCTGGTAAACACTTTTTATCACCCATTTTAGTTTAAAAACAAATAAATAAACCAAGATTTATCTGACGGGCTGTCCACACTGTTCTATCATTGTTGATCATCAATAAACATTCACTGAATTAAACCCAGAGTTTGTGCTGATTCATCCACAGGGTTTGGAATAAATAACATCACGTGCATTTATGAGGGCATAAATTTATAGATGTATTATAAATACATAAATGCAAACTGAATATGATGCTTCAACATGAAGCAGAATGATGCCACCTAGTGGTGAAAGGTAAAAATCAGTGTTTCCTCAAGTCTTCAGGAGCGTGAACCTTCAGCTCTTGCAGTCTTGCTGCATCATCTCCAGATGATTTGTTGTTAAAAGCCAGATATGAATAAATGAGTCCACCTGACATGCTGTAAAGAAAAGAGAAATATCAGAATGTATGTATGCAGATACTTGTACTTAAAAGCGGATGAACCAGATTTTCAAGGTATTAAGAGTAGGACTAGCTGACAAAATAACGTTCAATTCAAGTCAAAAAGTTCATACCAAATGCTGAGGCCGAGGAAGTTCTTCCATGAGAAAATATAATCTCCACCCACGAAGATGCCAACATAAGCTACAGCAACATTCTGAGAAAGGAAAAACTAATACAAGTTAGAATAAATGTGGCTAAACCCACTCTAACCTTTAGCAGCAAATAAAACAACTTGGCATTTAGGCCTCTTAAAAACACAACTGATGGACATTTTTTAAACTCCCAAGATGAAATAAATGGGAAAAAGCCATTTTAACAATACTGAAAAGAAATTTTGACATGTTCGTAACCAGATAGAAAATACACCAATACTTGAACGTTTGAATATGAAAAGAAGTCTTCAATGCATTTTTTCCGTGCATTCAGCAAAACACTTCAGGAAGGAAATTCATTATATCRTTTTCTTCAGGACCTGACTCTGCCTATTTTCACTGCATCATTAAAATGAGCCAACCTACGGCTGAAACCAGGTCCTCATACATATTTCCTTCCCTAGTGTCAAAATCAACTTTTTTTTTATTGTGCGTTGTAGTGTGTCCAGGCATGCATCTAAACTAACAGTACCTCCTGCCCTGGGCAACCATGTTTTATAGCCACCCCAGACCCTTCTGTGCATAAACGTAAGGATGCACCCATTTGAAAATTTCAGCCGATATCGATATCCGATATAATTTTTGCGGTTATGCGGCCGATAACCGATATTGACCGATAWRACACAAACACAAATTATATTATACATATACACACAAACACACTTGGGTCTTTTTTTGATACCGTAAATATCGACCAAACCTCTGACATGACTCTACTTCAGTTATTCCTGGCTGCGCAGCATCAGTATCACYATCATGATCAAACAGATGCTGCTCAACCAACCATCCCCCGTCCCAAAACAGAAACACAAAGCTAAAAAGTGGGAAATACATGAGTTAATTGGGAAATTATTAATTGTTAGTTAGTTAGTTAATTGGGAAATTAATTAATTGGGAATTAATTAATTGGGAAGTTAATTGGGTAGTTAGTTAGTTAATTGGGAAATTATTTTTAAATTAATTGGGAGTTATGTGGGAAATACATAAGTTAGTTATCTGATGTTAATATAGGCCCAGTTTTACATATCGGACTGATACAATATTCTAAAAAATGACCAATATTGTTTGATACCGATATTAAGGCCGATATATCMTGCATCCCTGCATAAAATCATCAATTTAATCACAAAAATAATCACACAAAGAAAATACCATTATTCAACTTAGAAAAGACTATAAAATGTGTAGTGCTTTTAAAAATCAGTAGTAAACAAACCCAAATAAATTTCTTCATGTACRGTATGTAGGGCTGCCACAAACGATTATTTTAATAATCGATTAATCACGATTATTTATTCGATTAGTTGACTAATCGGATCATACATTAATTGAATATAAAGCATAGAGCTTATCACGCCAGAATGCAGCTGCTATTATATAACCATCGTTAGATTTTAGCTATATGCTAACTAAAATAATTGCTGTGGAAGGTAAGTTCTGCTCTGCAGATATTRCACAGGTTTCTCTTTCATTTTCTTAAAATGATCCCACACTTTGAGCTCTGTTGTCAGGTAGCCATGATACCAGAGCCTGTCTGTATAATGTCTTGTGACGTCCACAGCCTACCCCAGTTACCACTACTGTGCATGTGTGTCAAGGACAGAAAGGCAGATGTGACAGTGGAAGGTGTCAAAGCAGTTTGGAGAGAAAAACAAAGTAAAAAACAACAAAAAAAAAAACGATTGATTATTAAATTAGTCATCGATTATTTTAATAATCCATTAGTCGTCGATTAATCGATTAATCGTGGCAGCCCTAACAGTATGTAAATTAGTCTCATACTGGTTCAAATATAGGCAACCAAACTTCATACAAATGCTTCTTTGTCTGACTGAATGGCTGCAAAAGTATCTGCTGTGTGATGATTGTTACACTGATTGCTCTGAAATGACAGTAAGCACATCAGCATACGTCTCCTACCTTTATGGCCCCAACTACTGTGGTAGTGAGCGCCGAGTTATAGTAGCTGCACAGAACTATGGAGTACATCAAAACAAACCTGAAAACACAAGATACAAGTAGAAAGAAAAACTATTTAATGTGAAGCAATTCTCRTTAAAAGCATTGTTTGCAAAGCTGCTGAACAGTTCAGAGTTACTGTGACRTGTACCCCATGAAGCAGGACATGAGGAAACAGGAAACAAATGTGACTTTGGTCCAGCCGTTAAATGTGGCTGCCTGAGAATAAAAACAAAACAAARCAAAACACAAAAGTCATTTAAATAAAAGGAAGTGAATAGAATACAAACACAATCAGTTACAGGTGCTGTTAGGACCTTGTGTAGATCTCCAGTCGCTGCACACGCCAAGAGGGTGGGGAAGACGATGATGAGTGCATTGTAAAATAAAACGCCATACTTTCCAAGTTCCTGGGGGCAAACAAGAAAATAATAATAATATTAATAATAATTACAGGCAAAGCGCCTGTGACATCAAATTTATGTCATAAATTTTAATTCACTTTTGGAAAGGCAACACTGATAACACATTGCAAAACAAATTCCACGCCGCTGAGATGAACAGTTGTTGAGATATTTGCATGTAAAGCAACAGGAAGTGATGTCAAAGGGGAATGTCTGCATGCGAGCAGAGCATTGATAAAATGTCTGACAACACAGACTGTAGAGAAGAATCTGACGTTTCTTTAGATCATTGTAAATACAGAGAGACGAAGAAGAGCGAGAGTTCAAACAACGTTTCAATAAGCAACGATCAGAGTGAGAGGGTTTTCTTTCTTAAAGAGCTCCCCTTTGATGTCACTTCCTGTTTCATTTTGGCTGAGCTAAATCCAAAAGAAAATAAAGAAAATATGCTGGTTATGTGACAAAATGGGTAAAATCGTGTTTATTATGCCAAGTTTCTTCAATATAAAAATGATTTCTTCGACTTTCTGTATTTGAAGGATACGCACGCCACAGGCTCTTTAAACGAATACGCATAATGAGACTGAACAATCCACTGTGCAGCCATTTCTACCTGATCGCCCAGTTTCTTCTTGGTGTAAACGCCGCTGGCTGCGGTGAAGGCGTCGTTGAGCAGAATGAAGGTGTAGCCTTCCACCTCGAAGGCCAAGTCAGAGCTGAGGAAGATGAAGGGAAAAACAGAAAACACGTACAGCCTGTAAAAGAGTCTGTTAAAACGACTAATTACATTTAAACATATTTATATAAACCGTATTTGTTCTGTACCTTGCAGCCACCAAGGCACCAAAAACTATAGCCGCCACGCTGTAAACAATATGCTTTGGAAACGTTTTCCTGAAAAAGAAAGAATTCTTATTGTATGATTATATTTAATCTAAGGAAATTTCGGCAGATTAAGTCCCTTAAATTTGCCCAAAAAAAGCTTTAACACAAGTGTCGGAGTTTATCAGATACGTTTGTTAAATCTGTCAGAGCTAGATGAGCAGAAGGACAACGAAGGGAAAGATTCACACACCAGCAGAGCTCCTGCTGAACAATTTATTCAGCGAAGTTTCGGGCCACTAGCAAGCTCGAAAAAAAAAAAAAACAGATTTAAACTGTCGTAATTCATCTGCTCAAAACATACACACATCAGCATTTTAAATCATCTCAAAAAGCAGCCCGAAATATTTAAAAAAATTATTTAAGATTACAAACTAAGAGATGTTATCACAAATTTTTAATTTCTTTTTATGTTTTTCGGCTCCCTTTTAGTGGTGTCCAGTTCTGGTCCTCGGAGCCGCTATCCTCTGCTCCAACACACCTGTTTTAMATGAATGTGTGATTAACGAGCTTCTGCAGAAACTGAGGATGATTTGCAGGCCAAAGTCGAAAGTTGCAGCAARGGAAACAACAAAAACATGAAGGATGGTGGGCCCTGAGGACCAGGACTGGACACGTGTGGTCTAAAATCAGACTCTTTATTTAAACCTTCTGTGGATCAAGTTTCACATGTAGGGAGAGTTTAGATCAGATTTTAAGGTCTTAATACCTTAATGAACAAGATTTCGTTTTCCTTAATAAAATGCATGAAAACTGGGCGTGTTTTGCAATATCTTTTAGCTTCCAACCCACAAAATAATCACGACAAATGCTTGAGACGCCATCCAATTAATTACGCAAACTTTGTGATTTATCCTGTACAACAAAACACAGCATTTTATCAACTATAATATTAATTTAGGACTACTTTTTATTCTGGGTGACAATTATGGTGAAATAAAACACAACAAGCAGTCACTTTTAAACGCAACGTACAGTCGGTACACACGCCTCCTCACCTGAGCGACAAAGAGAACGGCCGATGGATGAGTGTGTGATTTAGTAGTTTGAAATTAATTTTAAAACATTTTCAACACAACACACACACACATCTTCTCAACACAAGATGACACAGCATTTATGAGCATCTCAATATTTGTACTGGAATAGATTTTTTTCAAATTACTTCGTATTTATATTTCGTATGGATGGTTACAGGTGAACATGATTTAGAAACTGATTTTTTTAAACTGACAAATCCTCTAAAATATCAGAAATAAAGACAGACCAAAAAAAAAATAATCAAAAATTTAAAAATAAATAAACATTGCCTGTAGATTAATCCATAAAGACAATAATTTACCCCCAGAATTAATCTAAAAATGCATATAACTTACACTCTGTGTATGTAGTGTGTTATATATAGTGTGTAACAATGCTTATATGCACTTGCAGAGTGCATATAAGCACTCTGCAAGCATATAAGTTGTTACACACCTGTAACAACTCAGGTGTGTACTGTAATATACACACCTGAGTGTGAATATCTTCTTCCCACACTGGGGCCTTGACTCCAAGGTTGACAACCACTGTTTTAATTAACAACATTTTTYCTCCTTTCTTCAACACTTTCTACTAGWTAATCRWATGTTACCCTATATTTAAGCCATTTAAACCAATCAGAGACATCTTACCTCAGTATATACGCTTCCAGAATCATCGTCATCAGGATGGTGAAYTTCCGTAACACTGTAAACATGGGTAAACTGTGGAAGACATGGTTTGAAGACACCATAAGTCAGCGTTTCCCAAAGTTGGGGTCGGGACCCAAAGTGGGGTCCCGAAACATCAAGGTGGGGTCCTGAAAAGA